GCAGGAAGACCGTTTTATGTTAGAGAATGTGTCTTACAGATTACAAAATGTCATTTGGTATTTTCTTGCACAAAAGCTGCTACTTCAAATACACCCAAGTCAGAGGTTGAAACTTCTTGTCAAAATATAGTATTTAGTAACTCATTAATTCTTTGACTGTCCTTGTTCTTTGGCACTCAGCAAGTTATAGCAGTACATGAGTGACTGACAAGTCAGCTTTGTTCATGTAAGTTACTTAGCTAGTCACTGTCAACAGCAGCAAAAAACCCCCCTCATTTTCTTCCTTAAATTTCTGTATAAGGAATGTGAATGCAGCTCTACTCAGTAACTACAACTTTTACAGGTCTGTCTTGGGTTTAGTAGGTGTACTTGGATGTCAAAATAGCTGAGTACGACTAGGGTGACAGCCCTCTCTTGCTCAAACAAAGAATTAGAGAGAGTCAGACACATTCTCTTCCTTCACATAGGTGGGAGAGAAAAACAAAGTTAATTTTCTATGCCCTTGAACCTGGGGTGGGTGGAATCTTTTTCTGTATGGGGCATCTGTCTGTTCAGCCTACGTTTTGCTTAGGGCTTTAAAGAACTTTAAATGGAATGCAACAGCTTTTTGAGTCCATCTTCATTCCTTGGCTTTCTGTAAAACCAACTATATTCCATTTGAAATAAAATGTGTGGTGAAGTTGCCACCTCATTACTTCTGAAATTTTTACTATATTTTCATTACAGGCCCAGTTGCATGGCATCTCCCTAGGCAGGTATTTTAATTCCTTCAAATTGCTGCTTTCTCAGATCTTTGCTTGGACTTGATGTACTGTGTTTTTCAACATTCACTTGCTTTATGCTTCTGCTGGAGATGCTGTCTTTTGATACTCCTTGAGAGGAACTTTTATCATAGGAGAAGTGAAACTTGGCATGACCTTACCTTACCAAAGTGAGTGACTTTGTGAAGTTCTTCACAAAGACCATTTGGCTTTTAGCATCTTCCTTAAGTTTTTTGATCTGCCAGATCAGTAATGCTAGATTAAAAAGGTTTTGTCTGTTGAAAAACAAAACCAAAGTCTTTTCCAATTTGTTTTTGTGATTCTCTGAAGGACTTGTGTATTCTTGGGTAAGAGGTACTTTGCTGAAGAGTTTTCTAAGAATATTGCTTCAGTTCATGTTCCAGCAAAGTCTCTTAAGTTGTTCAAATTATGGGAAGTGAAAAGGAAAAAAAATTTTATATCTGCAAAGGGCATGTGAAACCAATTTATGAGGTATTTAAGTAATTGTTTTAGCTTTGTAGGAGGAAGATGAAGAGTTTTACTAGGAAAATCCCAAGTCTGCTTTCTGAATTTTTGTAGGTTTTTGAGCTCAGTTATCAACTTAGGAAAAAAGGAATAAAAAAATTTCAAGTCATTGTTTAGCTAAGTAACAGTTCTTATACCTGCTACTAAAACAGATGCCTTTTCATTGTCAAAAAAAAATGTGGAATTATTGGTTGGCTGTCTTTAAAATGGAAGTAACACTTGTTTCACTTGTTTTGATTGCAAACTCCTGAAGATCATATACTGTCTCTTACTATGGTAATTAGCACAGTTTCATTTAGGGCCTCTGTGAACAACTTTTAAGACTAGTGAGCAAATTTGAGAGTTGTGTTTATTGGTCTCATCTGTTTATTTTACAAGTTAGTATACGGCTGGTTTTTTTAATTTGCAGACTCGTTTTGGGGTTTGGTTTTCTTTTTTGACATCAGGAAACTAGTTCAGAAGATCTCGAAACATGCAGCCATGTTATATCATTGTCTACAGCATACAAGCTTCAGGCATTCGTAAATGAGGATTTGTCTGTAGAATCTCAGACAAAGATGATTCCTCTTTCCTTTTAAGAGGATGATAGAATTACTGCCAAGATGGGTAAACTCCTGAGAGGCTATAAGTAACAAAGTCATCCTATTAGAACCTATCTTCACTATGTGTTAGTGAAAGACCAGTTAGGTAGGTTGTCTGTAGCAAAGTCCTGTCCTTGGCAGATGCCTCAGTAAAGCCAAAGTAATTTTTGTCATCAAATATTGATTGTTTCCATTAAACAATATGTCTGAAACCCAGATGCTTTTTTCCAAAGTATGACATGTCTCTTTACCCACTTGATGTTGTAAGCAGAGTAGACTGTGATTACTTTTCCACTCACATCTTACACTTACAATACGTCCATTTTTTTTTTGCCAAAGAAGCAGTTATGAGGAAAAACCATGATGTGCTTTAAAAAAATACATTAGTCTCTTTTTTTACTATTAAAATTATAGAATGTGGCATATGTGATCATCATTACATGGCAGAACCATAGTTGTTTAAGAGCTTGATCAGGCATTTTTACCATGGATTATTAATTTTCTGGGTTTCTAGTGACTGATGTTGTATATTCTAGGAAGCTTTTTTTCCTATGCAATATTAATGTGACCTCTTTTAAAAAAAAAAAAAAACAAAACCCCAAGAAAAAAGAAAAGGTCATTTAAATACATTCATGGTTGTGAATCAGGTTCTATCTTCAGGACATGATCCACAAGAAGAAGATAGAAACCTGAAAAGTTTTTGTAGAAATTAAGGAATTGAGGCACAAAATTAGAGTGAGAAAATGATCAGGATGACTTGAATCTTTCCAGATTCTCTGGGCAGCTCTGTCAAGTATCTTCAGTGGCATATTTTCCATGCCAAATTTCCCTGTAAGCTTTTTGAAGTTCTTCCTTGTTTCTAGGTATCTGTCTTATATTCTAAAATACTTCCATTCATAACTATGGCTTTCTTACACCATTCCATATACCTGCATTTAACTCTGAGTTCTCCTGTTCTTTTGCTTAGTTAAATCTCGGAGACAGATAGATGTCATAAGCTGGTTATGCTTCTTGGACAGCGTATATATAATTTGGCAAATCTATGAAAATGTAATCTTGCACACATAATCTCAGACTACAAAAAAAGGGTTACTTTCTAAGGTGTAGTTTTGAGATGTACACACTACTTGATCCAATACCTGCAGTTTATTAATAATTTTTATATTAAGAATTTTAAGAAATCTAATCCGTCCTTTCAAAATCTGAAAGGTTTTCTGTAAGAACTGAGAACTGTCACAGCTTGTGCAGTAAACTTGTATGACATCCTTGTTATCCCTGTTCAAGTTCATCAGGAAAGAATGTTTAGCAGGATTTCAGCTGCTTTCTTAAGGAAGTAAAACATACTTTTTGTGTTGACTGTCTGCCTGCCAGTGTTACTGTCTTCACTGACTTCTGAATTTCTTGGTCATTTTCAACCATGTTTAAGAAAATCCTTAGAAATATGACTGTATACAAAGTAATGAAAATTACCATCTGAGCAGAGGAAGGAAAAATGTTGAATGTTTACAAGAACAGAAAACTAGGGTGAACTTGTCCCATATTCCTTCTGTTTATTGATCAGACAAGTTAACTAAACTAATCATGATGCACGGATCAGAATAAATTGCTGTATTCTGTTTTTAATGTGCTGGTAATCTGACAGCTGGACAAGTTTATGGGTAGAGCTAAGAATATTGCTGGGACAGTTTGGTGGCTGTTGAGGTGGGGGCGTTTGTGGAAAGGGGAAAGCTGGAGTGAATACAGGAAACATGCTGATAAGCAACCAGGTGTTCTTAGTTCTGCTACTCACACAACAGGATTGTAAGGTACAAGGGGGGCTGTGATTCCCTGCTGATTTCCACTGCCTTTTGGTATTGTATCAGAAGAGAAATTAAGTTATTATTTTGTCTTTTTAAGGAAAAAATACTGTTTTTTCAAAAAATAGAATACTATTGTGGTGCACTATTTTGGGAGCTTTTAACTCCTTGTCCATTGTCCTACCAAATACATGTGTAAGTCTAAACTATCAGTTAAATTGGTCATTACTTTGTGCATTGCAGTCTAATGATCACACGTAGTGTTAGTGTTAAGAACAGTTAAGAATATGGATTTGAATAGTTACAAGGTGGTGCAGTACATAAACTGAGGAAGTCTTAATCCTAAATGTGAGCTTTGGCTGAAAATAAATCATTGCAATTAGTCATAATTACACATTGTCTTTATTACTGCCTTCTCTTGCATTCTGATTGTAATCTTGACAACCACAAGCAGAAAATATCAGATAATATACAAATGTGTCATTTAGCTTTCTCTTATCCTAATAATATCAGGAGGTCTACAGTGATCCGAGAGAAACTAAAGGAACATCAGAGTTACCTTTTACTCCAAATCCTTAGAGACTGTTCTGCTGGATTAGTAGCATGTATGTACATACATGATCCATGGAGTAAATACAGCTGCCTTGTGTTTTAAATCAGCTATGTGAAAAATAGAAGTTTAAACAGATGTAGGCATGTAGATTTAAAACTTCGTTTCATAAGTAGCTATAATCATGACTCCTAATAAAACATCTCAGAATAAAAACTTTTAGGTCACACAAAGTATATCTGGTGCCATCTGCTGATAATAATTAAGAAATATTTGCTAGTGATACTAAGCTCAGAGACCTAATATTTTCCTTACCCCAAAATACATTAAATTGCATTTAAAAATTTTATATGACTAATTACAAATTTCCCATGTGTAGTGAAACTTTAGCACTGTGAACTTAAAATTACAGGTGTCCACATGTTTTCATTGCATACTTGTATAATAATACAGGCTTACAGCCATTGAATGTAAGTAATTAGACTTTATATACAGTTCAAGTGTGTGTACCCTATTCTGATCACTCAGGAGTCTTATATTGATAAAACATTATATAAAAGTTGCATTTACTCTTTAAAAGTCTATTTTCTTTCAAAAATCTACAGTGTACCAAACGAAAGTAGTACATGAAACCATATAATTTTTTCTTCTTTCCTTTGAACATCTAACATCTCTCTCATTTTTGTTCTATGTCATTTGGAAAGCTGTGGGAAATTACTTCTACCTTCAAGATATTCTAAATTACTTCTTCCTCATAATACAAGTTATGCGTCCACAGCTTCAGTCTCCATTAGGGAGCAAAGCAGCATTAATAGGAATGGATCAAGAGCAGCTTTCCAGTACCACTGAGGTTACTGAGAACACAGGGTCAAAGTTTTTACAATCATGCATAGCAGGACAATGGAAGATTACAGACAAATTGCAACGAGAGGCTCTTTTTTTATGTAAGGAAAAACGAGGACAGGCAAGCAGTGGAACAGGCTACCCAGAGAGGTTGTACAGTCTCCATCCATGGAAGTATTCAAGACCGAACTGGATAAAACCCAGAGCAACCTGAATTGATCTCGTAGCTGACCCTGCTTTCAGCAGGCAGTTTTGTTAGAGACTTCCCAAGGTCCTTCCAACATGAATGACAATTTAATGACTTACACAATAGAACAGTCGATACTGAAGATGTGACAGCAACGCTATTTGCATTTATGGCAGTTAAGCTTAGACTAACTGTGGTCTAGCCCTGTAGATTGAATGTGCATTAGCAACAAGAGCACTTCAGATGCACCCCTGAAGCACATCTCCCAGATTGCTCTGAGATACTGTTTCCTCCCCCACCCCCCCCCAGTATTACCTTTTTAGAGTAAGTTAACTTAAAATCTGTAAACTGCCAGTAGCTGTAGCAGTTGAATATATGAGAAATTTTGCTGCATTTACTCTTCCATAGGGAGTATTTGGAAATTATTAGAAAAAAATTAAAACGCATACTAAAGAAAATATTATAAGAGCAAAAAAAAAATACATCCTTTGTTACTCCAACTAGGTCAAAAGATGACTTTGCTCTTAATGGAAAAGCGAGCTTCTCCTGAAAGTGTCTAAAAGTAATTCATGCTTGGACATTACCAGTGTGAAGAGTCTGAAATGGAATAGAAAGGCAATAGAAACTTAGCACTTCTGAAGGAGTTTTGTCTTGTGGTGTTATAATAATTGATGTTGGGGATGGTGATTAACAAGCAGAAATTTATTCCAGCCTGTTGTGTTTTCCAGCTAATGGTAGGCATCTCAGTGCTCTATGATATTTTCCTTTTAAAGGCACAGATCATACCAGGATGTAAAATAACTATCTTTCTCGTTTGCACTGATGATCACCTGTTATCCAAAAATCTTCGAAGAAGTTTTTCTGGGGTGCATGTAACAAACTAATTACTCTATATAAGCAGGGTTGTTCCAAACCTTATATCTGGTAGACTATTCTTGTAGACTATTCAGTGTTGATTTGAATATTTAATTTTGTATGAGTTTCTTGATTACTGGCTGTCAGATTTTTGTTTGCTTGTGTTTGGGTTTGCTTTGTTTTGTTTTTTTAAGCTAAGCTATTAATCAGTAGTTTTCATTGTCTAGAGCTATGATTCCCGTGTCATGCAGAGACCTACTTTTGTTCTCAGATAATTCGGGTTTTCAGTTCCATCTCTTAACTTTTCTTGTTCTTTTGTTATTTTTGCACATACATTAGCATTTTTTTCACCTGTTGCTTTACTGCTTCAATATCTTTTGTTGAATTTTTTCTTTCCTTGTAAGCGTGTCTCTAGGATGATAAAATTCCAGTTGAACATTTATTGGATTCTTTATTTCGGAATCGGGAAGTACCAATAAACAAAGAATACCTGTGTCTGGGTGTTACATGATGAGGAGAGATCTTTTTCTCTGTAGGTGCCCTCCATCATTTAGAGTTTCACCTCATATCTCTCCTCTAGAAACTCCTTTGGTAGAGATCTGGTTGAAAGATTGTCAGAAGATAGAGCTTCAACCATAGGCAGACTTGTTTTGTCATGCCTTCGATAAGGTCTCTTGAAGCCAAGATGTCTAGCATATACTCAGTCTTTGAAAATGTTGGAGCTTCACCTTATCTCATAAAGCATTACTGAAAGACCAGCCAAAGGTATTGACAAGAAGCATCTGAGCAATCAGCTGCCCTCTCGTATGCTTTGGAGAGCAGATTGCATATGTGCGTGTTTGTAATTCCTTGCAATACTCTGTTGGTGAAAATGAATTCTCAAAATGGAGTATGTTTTCAATAAACCCGAAACAAAACAAAAAAAATCTCCTATGCATTCATCCTAAACTTAAGCACCGTTCTTTGATCTGTCTCAGTGGTCGCTCTTGCTAATAGATGGATAAAGCTCCCTTGGCATAAAATGCTTGAGCAAATAGCTGTGTGATCCTCCAACTACCTATTAGGAAATTTACACTTGCATGCAAACATCTACCTGATCCAGGCCTTTCAGTTTCTCCACTTCCATGAAAACAAAACTCAGTTTATCATCTGTCTTATCTGTTTCAGACTAATTTAAGTATCCCAGTAACTGCCACCATGTGCTTTGGCATTTCTTTCAGGCAATCAAGGCTGACCTAAAAGCTAATTCTTCTGTATCACATTCACACTTACTTTAAATCTTTAAATTCTTGTCCCTTCTTGATGAAATCTGTTTCACTCATTACCTATGAACTCAAGGATGGGCAGTGGTTAAAACATTGAAAAGGCTATTTTTGTTTTGTGTATGTGTAGAGTTGAAGGAAAGAAGATAGAGTGGGATAGTGAAATGAGTACTACTGCTGCCACTTTAAGGAAGAGCATAGATCTTGAAGTATGGGCAATTGTGCTTGTCTTGTGAAATGAAGTATTGCAGTCATCAATGCAGTATTGCATTGATAAGTAACACAGCTTACTTTAAGTGAGTTTCTTAATTACCTTGTTATTTATGCTAAGTTACATATGTTTATTTTGTTCATCTTTCTGGTACTTCTGTTTATATTAGGATTCTTTTTTCAGTGATTCACAAATGTAGTTTCAGCTATGTTTATTAATAAGAACTTTTAACTTTTTTCTAGCTGACAGATAACATTAAAATAAAGTCATAGGTATCTCATGTTTGATCCCTTTATTTTTTTGTGTGTTTTTAAAAGGAAATATTTCTTTCCATGGGACTGTTACATACACAAACAAAAAATAGCATATATACAGTTTTCAAATAGGAAATAAAGCTTTTCTCACAAATGTTTTCATTGGTAGCACTTTGAAAATGCCCTGGAAATGTCCTGATAATCTTGTAAGATTTTACTATAAAAATTGACAACTTTGTAAAATTCAATTGCTTGTATTACTACAATTTGTATGGGATATTTCAAGTAGCATATCAGTTTTAACATTGCAATCCTGAATCTACAATGGGGATTATAATCTGATGTGTAGGTGAAACAAATTTTTTTTAAGATCAGCTCCTTGAAAGTCCAACTGTTCTATGTTATGAAAAGGCCTAATCTATAGAACTGCACTTTAAAATTAATTATTTTTGTTATAGTTGTTCTTTTGAAAGTAGTTTCTTTATGTACTAATTTATAGCTTTATTTAACTTTCACTGTTTTTATTCAAAATTCTTTATTTTCAAAACTGAAAACAAACAGTCTGCAAATGAAAATTCAACTTATTTACCAACAATAAATAGAGATTCTGACTCCTATAGTTGCATTATTTATCTACCCACGTGGTTTTACTTGCATGCTATGACAGAGGAATAAGGTAAAAATTACTGATATATGCTAAATGTGTTCTTCCAAGTGACCTCCGGTTAGGAATGCTCTTAAGAAAAACTTATTAGATATCTGAATTAATGTGTTCATTAGACATGTATGTATTACACACATTTATTGTGCTTATAGGAAATATTTATTTAAAGAAAAGCAATTAAGTTTGGGTTTTTAATACATCTGTTGCCTGTGTTGTTGTTTTCTTATTCCTAGATCTTCCTCAGAACTGTGATCCTAACATTCCCCTAGTTGCTCAGGAATTAATGAAAAAAATGATCCGTCAGTTTGCGATTGAGTACATTTCAAAAAGTAGCAAAATTCAAGAGAACAGAAATGGTTCATCATTTGAACCAAGTCTGATATGTAAAAGTATCCAAATGAACCAAACGGAAAACTCCCTTCAGGAAGAACAGGATAGCCCTCTAGACCTCACTGTGAATCGAACTCAAGAACAGAATACTCAGCAAGGTAAATTTCTGTATCCACTTATCTGTGTTTCGCTGTCATTTATTACCTTATTTTGTCTTATTCCCTTAAAAAATTAAATGTGTCTGTGTCAACAATCTATGTTTTGTCTTTCCAAAGTAGTAATCAGTATATAGGAAAAAGAAAATTTTCCTATGTGATTAAAATAAGGTTGAAGGAAAATTGGCATTGCATCAACTTAACACTTAAAGAAAACTCACACATTTTCCTTTAAACACCAGCAAAAAATGTTATGAGAGAACTGTAAAAAACAAACAAACAAAAAAAAACCACCAAAAAACCCACACCACCTTTCTAGAAACATTTTTTTATATTGTGTGTTAGCAGATAAATTTTCTCATTTCTGAGTGCCTGTGTTAAATAAGTGGTATTGGAATTTCTCAGTTTTAGAATACGGAATCTAAGTCAGCTCACCTGTGGCTGTCACAGGTAACAGTGGTTCAAGATTTTGTTGAAGAAATGGCTGCTAAGAAGCCTTGTGAGAAAAGAGAGAAAGATACTGGAATTTCAGAGAGCAAAGGTCATTCTGTCTGTGTCAGCCCTTGGACACTTTGATTCTTTAAATACAGACTGGTTAGAATGATGGAAAGAGAAGATTAATTTGGGATGAAATTTCCATACTTCATGCCTTAATCATTATACGTCAGTGCAACTTTCTTAATTGAGTGTAAAGCTAGAAAAAGAAAACTAAAGTCTGTCTCACTATCATTTACAAAAAGGAAATAACTTCTTTGCCTCAAGAAATATTGCTATCCAAAACTGATAACAATATAATCACAAGAGCATTTTGGGCTTTGAATTTGATTTGGATTAACAGCAGTTTTCAGGAAGGGTTGTGACTGTCATGTGCAACTGAAAGCAGTGGCAAAAGCAACTTTTGTCTTTTACAGATACAGGGTCCATGTTAATCCAATAATACTGCAGACCAAAGGGAGAAGTTTACCTGTATGTCACGTGCCATACTAAAAAAGTTAAAAAGAAGGTAGAACTGCAGAATTAAGTTTTTTAAAAAATATAGATTGGTCAGAATGAAAGCAGATTTCATATGTGTGTGCTTAATGATGCAGTCTTAATTAGATGACTCATCCTTTAGGAGGGAGAACTCTCACGTGGATATGCCTTGCTAAACATAACTATTCCAGATTAAATTTCAAGCATTCTTTCTCTTTGACAGCAGAAGCATTAAGAAATTGTGGAATTCCTGCTTTTATTCTGCATGGTCAGCAGAAACCAATTCACGTCTGGGTTTAGCAAATGCCTTGTGCAGATTAAATCCTGAGAAAATATCTGGTGTGCTTTGATATGTACCTCTGCTATGGATGAATTACAGATTTTAGAGATTTATAATTGGCCAGGTCGAAGCATGTTTATTTTGTGAGGGCAATAAAAAGTACTTTCCTGATATCAACACTATAGCCTGTTGCTTCCTTCAACAGCTGGTTATAAAGAATAACTAGTTTAAAATGTCCATGAGGGAGCAAAGTTCCAAAGGCAGGTTCTGGTCCTCACTGCACTCAACTCTTTGAGGAATGAAAGGGAAGGCAGAGGGTGAACAGGGCAGGGATGTGAAGAAAGTTCTGCTGCGACCCTCAACTATTTGCAAATCCATTGATCTTTTGTCCAAGAAATACATAGAGAGATTGAGGTATTTAAATCTCTTTTTATATCACTTGAATTTTTCTTATAATGACGTTAAACAGCAAGTTTAGAATTGTGCATCTTCAGCAAAATATCTGAGGCTAAAATAGTTGCTCAGCATACATAGTTTACTATGTAAAACTTGCATACTGTGTAAGATATTGTAGATTCTCAGAACTTACACTGTCATGTTTGCTGGAGTGCTTTGCAGATGTTAACGATACTAGTCTTGCTGTGAAGTGCAGAGCTACTGAAATGAAAGGAAGTACTGAAACAAGACTGTAGCTGGAGAAAGGTTTCAAGCCATCTTATCTTATCTATCAGGGAAATTGTATTGCACTTCCCGTTTCCCATGAACATATAAATTTTGAGCTATCTTAGCTTTCCACTGGAGTGGTAGCAATGCAAGCAAATAAGATCAAGATGGGAAAAGGCAGCTTGCTCTTTTTATTTGCATTGTGTTCTAGGTGCAATGATTCTTGAAAAGTTCTTTCAATTAGCTATTGTCAGGGACTATGTATTATTCTACCTACCCCTCACTTCTGTCCTTTTCCTGAAGAAAGCTTGGATATATTGAAGTGTTACATGCTTACAGGAGGGAATTTTGAAATTTTTTAATTGGATTGTTTTTAAAAATGTGTTATTCTGTGTCTAACATAGTATACTACTTCAGTCTGGAGACTTGTAAAAGCTATACCATGGTTTCCTTCTTAGTAGTCTTTTACTTGTCATGCAACTCTTTTTATTATTTGTTATTTGTAATTCCTGTACAGGAATACTGCCACATGAAGTGGCAGTAACAGAATAGGAAGTTCAAATTTGTACATTGCTCTGATGGATCTTCAAAGTTGAAATCCTTTTAATTCAAGTCCTGTGAAGCAGATAATGACCTAAATATAAATCCTTCAGGTTCATTTTCTGTTTAGGCAAGTGCTTTGTATTTACAATACTCTTTAAAATGAATGATCTGAATAACAAAACAGACAGTTTTGTTCCTTTACTGTGTCAATGATTCTTGGTCTTAAGTTGAGAGGAAGGAGTAGGGTTTATTTTCCGGATCACTAGAAGCATTGTTTTTGCGCTGAGCAGATCCAAGCTAAGTGCTAGCTCAATACAGAAAAAAGATTCTGCCACTGAAGATGTCTGGATGATCTTATCTTCATTTAAGAAAGCTTCTTACTTTCCTCCAATATCTGCAGGCCATCTCTGAAGTACTTCCAAAATATTCAGGTCTGACACTTCCAGACCTGGTACCCTCGTGTATCGGGTTTACATGGCAAGGTTTTGCTAGTTGGGGAGGGCTGCAAGGGTGGCATCTATGAGAATAGGTCAGGGGCTGCCCTGTGCTAGGCACAGCCAACTCTGCAACAGACTCGCAACAGGCTGAAGTGGAGCGCATCAGTGAGGTTTGTGGTGCCTCTGTGAAAACGTATTTAAGGAAGAGCAAAAATGCTTGGCAGGCAGAGGAGTGAGAAACAGCAGGGTGAACAAGGTCGGAGAAGGAGGGGGAGGAGGCGCTCTAGGCACCAGAGGAGGTGTTCCCCTGCAACTCATGGAGAGGACCACGGTGGAGCAGGTGTTCCCCTGCAACTCATGGAAGAGACCACTCTGGAACAGATATTCCACTGCAGCCCATGAAACACCCCACATTGGAGCAGCTGGATATTTCCTGAAGGAACTGTGGCCTGTGGAGAACCCACAATGGAGCAGGGGAAAGGTGTGAGGAGGAAGGAGCTGTAGCGGGGAATTGTACTGACTGTAACCCCTATTCCCAATCCTGCCTGTGCCACCTGGGGACGGGGGAGAGAGGTGGAGGAGCTGGGAGTGAAGTTGAGTCTGGGAAAAGGTGGGGTGGGGAGGTGCTTTAATATTTGTCTTTTTCTCATTTTCCAAATCTATTTTAATCTGCAATAGATTAATTTTCCCCAAGTCTGTTTTGCCTGTGGTGGTAAGTGATCTCCCTGTATTTATCTTGATGACACTTTTCATCTTATTTCTCCCTGCCCCCTCATTGAGGAGGGGGGGAGAGAGGCTGGGTGGGGATCTAGCTACTGGCCAAGGCCAACCCATTGCACCCCTGGAACTGAATCATTCAGTACTGAGTATTTAAGCACGGGGATCCAGGTATGTCCAGCTGGTGCCTGACTGATAGCAGAGTTCTATCTGAAAGCAGATAGCTTTCTTCTACTTGTGGCAGTGTAGTAACTTAAGAGTGCTTTAATTCCTGTGCTCCTTGCTGGTAACTAATCAGGCAATTACTTCACTGTCAGTCAATTAGAAGCAGAAATACCTGTATCTTGCTTTTTTTTTCCTAATCCATGTAACTCGAAGACTGTCCAGGCCTTGAAAAAAATACTCCGTATAGTGAAAGAAAATCTGTTTTGCGTGCACTGCATCTAACAAAAATAAGGTGGTATTGTGTATTTTTGCAATATTATTTGTCCTCCAAACTAAGCCAATGAAAAAGCAGCACCCTTGCAGAGTAAAACATTGAGTGAGGAACAGTCTTGGAATATCCTGCAGCAACTCACTGTTTTCTTGTGCAGCCCTGATGTTGAGCTCTTTGGGGAGTGTTCCCAGCAGCAGCTCTACTTTGATGCAAAGGCTTCTTTCCATTGGTAGGTATGGGAGAGTTGATCACTCTCAAGCTGCTAAGCAAAGTGACTTACAAGAGGCAGAAGTATAAGCTGTACAAATAAATAATCTGTTAGTTTAGCTACACAAGCATATTCTTGTTGCTGTATCTTCTAGGAGCAATGATAGTGTGGAAACATAGCAGAAAAATGCAAGAGAATTTGCATAGATTTCCTTGTTTCATTGATCCATCATAGACTGGAAGACATCAGAAGGTAGCTGGCAATGTGTGACATTTTGCTGCATGAACTTTTTACAGCTATCCTGAGCTTTGTCATTGTTGTTGGCTATTATTGAAGAAGTAGGAAAAATAAGGATAATCCAAGTCAAAAATTCTGTTTAAATTATTTTAAATAGCATTTTATTATCCAGTCTACAATGTGCATGTGATTTTACCAAAATATGTAGCAAAATAAAGATTTCTGAATAATGGACCAGAATTTGGAAACTATTCTTAATTTTTGAAAAGTGGTTTCATATTTCTTGAAAAATCCACGCTGAAGTTAGTATGGCATCTGGGATCACAGCACGTGTGGCCTCTTGATTGGTGTGTTCAGGGCTGTTGAAAGAATTCCAAACATTACTGAAAATAACCTTTTATTTTCTTAATATACTGTTCTTACCATATGCATTGGGGAAAATACTATGCTTTTTGAAGGTACACATGCTATGTTCCCAAAGATAGATTGTATGAACTGTAAATATATTAA